GAAATCAAGCAAGCCAACAAGTAAATACGATGTCTTCTCAACTTTCCAATCAAGGAAACACAATTTCGGTCCAGCAAAATAACTTGCATGCGAAATTAACAGGAAATATAATGTTGGCCAAAACAACCAATCAGCAACTTACTGTTAATACGCAATCAACCGCAGGTCAAGGTCAGAATAGCCAACAAAGTCATAGCGGAGGTACAAATTTTGCCAAACTTAACAATCAGCAAAATAATCTGCCTGCGCAATCAACTGACATTCAAACTAGTCAACAAGGCAATCAAGCCAATGAAATATTTCCACAGTCTACCAATACATTTAACACAGTTATGGCTCAACCAAGCGGTCATCAGAATAAAATCAACACGCAATCGACTGGAGGTCAAAGTCAAGTTAGCCAACAAAATCATCCAGGTGGTACACATTTGGTCCAACAAAACAATGTGCACAACAATATGCGTTCACAACCATCAGGAAATCAAGCTAGCCAACAGGGAAATCAAGGAAACACAATATCTTTACAGCAATCCAATCAACTTAACACACTTCTGGCCCAAACAAACAGTCAGCAGAATAATCCTCAGGCAAAAACAACTGGGAGTCAAAGCAATCAAGGCAATGCGATACCTTCAAAGTTAACCAATGGAGGAAATACAATGATGACCAAACCAAATAATCAGCAGAAAAACGTGCATACACAATCAACCGGAAATCAAGCTAGCCAACAAGTAAACCATGGAAACACGATGTCTGCCCAACCTTCCAATCGAGGAAACACAATGCTTGCCAATCCCAGCATCCAGCAAAATAACTTGAACGCGAAATCACCCGGAAATACAATGTCGGCACAACCAGACAATACAATGTCATTCCAAGGAGGCAACCACCAAAACAATATGAATTCGCAACCATCAAGAAATCAAGCTAGCCAACAAGTAAACCATGGAAACACGATGTCTTCCCAACCCAGCATCCAGCAAAATAATTTGAACGCGAAATCACCCGGAAATACAATGTCGGCCCAACCAACTTATCAACAACGTAATGTTAAAATGCAATCATCTGCAAATCAAGGTCAGATTAGCCAACAAAGTCAAAGCGGAGGTACACATTTTGCCCAACTTAACAATCAGCAAAATAATCTACCTGTGCAATCAACTGGCATTCAAACTAGTCAACAAGGCAATCGAGCCAATGCAATATCTTCACAGTTTACCAATACATTTAACACATTCGTGGCTCAACCAAGCGGTCATCAGAATAAAATTAACACGCAATCAACTGGAGGTCAAAGTCAAGTTAGCCAGCAAAACAATTTAGGTGGTACACATTTGGCCCAACAAAACAATGTGCACAACAATATGCGTTCACAACAATCAGGAAATCAAGCTAGCCAACAGGGAAATCAAGGAAACACAATATCTGTACAGCAATCCAATAAACTTAACACAATTATGGCCCAATCAACCACCAGTCAGCAGAATAATCCTCAGGCAAAAACAACTGGAAGTCAAAGCAATCACGGCAATGCGATACCTTCAAAGTTAACCAATGGAGGAAATACAATGATGACCAAACCAAGCAATACAATGTCAACCCGAGGAGGCAACCACCAAAACAATATGAATTCGCAACCATCAAGAAATCAAGCTAGCCAACAAGTAAACCATGGAAACACGATGTCTTCCCAACCCAGCATCCAGCAAAATAATTTGAACTCGAAATCACCCGGAAATACAATGTCGGCCCAACCAACTAATCAACAACGTAATGTAATAACGCAATCAACTGCAAATCAGGGTCAAATTAGCCAACAAAGTCAAAGCGGAGGTACACATTTTGCCAAACTTTACAATGAGCAAAATAATCTGCCTGTGCAATCAACTGGCATTCAAACTAGTCAACAAGGCAACCACACCAATGCAATATCTTCACAATCTACCAATACATTTAACACAGTTATGGCTCAACCAAGCGGTCATCAGAAAAAAATCAACACGCAATCAACTGGAGGTCAACGTCAAGTTAGCCAGCAAAATCATCCAGCTGGTACACATTTGGCCCAACAAAACAATGTGCACAATAATATACATTCGCAAACATCTACAAATCAAGCTAGCCAACAAAGTAATCAAGGAAACACAATATCTTTACAGCAATCCAATGAATTTAACGCAAATCTGGCGCAACCAAAGAGTCAGCAGAATAATGTTCAGACACAAACAACTGGGAGTCAAAGCAATCAAGGCAATGCGATACCTTCACAGCTCACTAATGGAGGAAATATATTTATGACCCAACCAAACAGTCAGCAGAATAACCTGCATGCACACTCAACCGGAAATCAAGCTAGCCAACATGTGAACCAAGGAAATACGATGTCTTCTCAACCTTTAAAGCAAGGTAGCACAACGCCAGTCCTATCCAGCGCCCAGCAAAATAACTTGCATGCAAAATCAGCCGGAAATAAAGCTAGCCATCAACCTACAAATTCAGGAAATTCAATGACAGCCCAGCCACAAAATCAGCAAAATAATAGGCATTCGCAACCAACTAGAAATCAAGCAAATACTGTGTCTTCCCAACCTTCCCTTCAAGCTAACACAATGCCTGTCCAACCAAGTAGTCAGAAGAATAACCAGCATGGACAATCAATCGGAAGACAGCAAGGTCATTCTGTAAATACGATTTCGTCACAACATAAGAATCAAAGAAATACACTGTTGGCCCAACCAAGTAATCAGCAGAATAACATGCATACGCAATCAACTGGTGGTCAAGGTCTGGTTAGCCAACAAAGACATCAAGAAAGTATGAAACCTGCACAACACAGCAGTCACAATGTTAATCTACATGCTCACCCCATTGGAAGCCTGACGTCCGCAAGTAAGGGTAGTCAAGGGAATGTTATATCTCCAAATCCGACAAAGCATTTAAATAATTTCCACGGGCAATCATCTGGAGTTAAAACCTCCACAAACCATCGGATGAATCAGAAGACCAGCCCAAAAGCATCATCTATAGGCGTTCAAATCAGCCAACAAAGTAATCAACTGAGCAATCAGCAAACTATTCTGAATACACAACCTAATGGAGGTCAAGGTCAGGTCAAACAACCAGTTCATCAAGGAAATACAAATTCAGCCCAATCAAACAATCAACATAATATTCTGAATGCGCCTGGAAATACAATGTCCGTACATCTGTTCAATCATGGCAATACTATTGAAGCCCTACCTAGCGGTCAGCAGAATAGTCTACATGCACCATCAACCGGAAATCAAGCTAGTCAACGCCCTACCAATATAGGAAATACAATGTTTGTCCAACCAAGCAATCAGCAGAACAGCCTTCATACACAAACAACAGGTGGCCAAGGTAATCAGGGAAATGCAATGTTTTCACAACTTTCCCATACGAACAATAATCATCGGAAACATCTCCAAGCGCAATCAACCAGTAGCATACCTAGCCAACAATCTGCCAATCCAAGAAACAGAATGTCGACACAACCAAGCAATCCGCAAAATAACCTACTTACGCTATCAGCTGGCGGTCAAGGTCAGGCTAGCCAACATAATAATCAAGGAGGTAATCATTTGACTCAACCAAACAATCAACAAAATAGCGTAAATGCACAGCAACGACATGGACATCAACCGAGCCAACAAAGCAATCAAGCAAATACAATGTTTTCACAGCTTATCAATCTAAGCAATGCAGTTTTAGTTAAACCAAGTATTCAACAAAATAATCCGTACCAGCAGTCAACTGGAAGTCAAAGTCAGCAACAAGGCAACCAGGGAAATACAATTTCGGGCCAGTCCAATCATTTTCAGAATAATGTGAATTCACAATTAAACGGAAATCAAGCTTCTCAACAGGGTCACCAAGGGATTGCGATGTCCTCACAACGTTCCAATCAGGGAAGCTCAATGATTGTCAAACCAACCAACCAGCAGAATAGCCTACTTGAACATCCCATCGGAAGCCAGATGTCCTCAAGTCAGGGTAGTCACCAAACTAATGTGCATAGCCAATCGCAGGGAAGTCAATCTTCCACAAACCATCAAACCAGCCAGAAGAACATCCTAAATACGTCATCTGTCGGGATTCAAGTCGACCAACAACGAAATAAAGGAAATGCAATGTCGCCACAACTGACCATTCAGCAAAAACAAGGTTCGTCGAATATTATCACGCCCGTTGCAGGTCATCAACTTTCTCGGAGTTCCCAGAGTCAGATAGGTCAAACATTCTCTGGCAGATCCTCAAATCACCCCGGGCAACATATACCAAGCCTGTCCAAAAGTCAATCTGGACAACAGTCAAAAGGCCAGCAAACAATTCAATCCGGACAAAACATACCCGGGCAGTCAAACGGTCAAGCCGGCCAACATTTTCCAAGCAAGTCTGCGGCTCAAGCCGTGCAACAAAACCCAGGTCAACCAGCTGGTCAATCCGGACAACGGAAACAAGGAAAGACTCTTGGTCAAGTCGGACAACACAGTTCAGGCCAGTCGTCGGGTCAATCTCGACAACAATTTCAAGGGCAGTCAGCGGGTCAATCTAAACAACACCATCCAGGCCAGTCCATTGGTCAAACTGGACAACAAAATCAAGGCCAGTCCACTGCTCAATCTGGACAACAAAATCAAGGCCAGTCCCAAGATCAAGCTGGACAACAAAGTCAAGGTCTTCCCATGAGTCAATCTGGACCACAAATACCGAGCCAGAGTAATATTAAATATATGCATCAAACGTCAGGACAATCCAAAGGTAAAAATATTCAACAAATATCTGGACAGCCGTCAAACCGCATTGGTTTACAAATAATTGGAACGTCCATAGGTTCAACTACCAATCAGGTATCTGGGCCAACATCAGGACCAGCCAGTAAACAGATATCTGGGCACTCTACGATTCAAGTTCGTCAAAAAGTATCTGGACAATCCACACGTGCAAGTGTAAACAACCAAGGCACGCTTCAAAGCACTATGTCTTCTAATAAAGCTGTTGGTGGACACCAAAGTAACGGAAACCAAGCTAGAACTGGTGATCATCAATTGTTAAAGCCTAATGGTCATTCAACAACAACTGGAAAAACCTCTCAACAAAATCAAGGCACTGTATCATTTGGAGTTGCGAAAGTTGTTCCGTCTACGACTCAACACAGGCAAGTTGTCGGTAGTCAGTTTTCAAACCAGCTACGGAATTCCCCGCAATCAGCAGCCGTACCAAGAACCAATCAAAAGACCATTCACCAGTCCAGTCAGAACAACAATGTTGCTTCAGTTCCTGTAGACCAGACAGCTGGATCTAGTCAGCATCCATCATTTGATCCGAGTCAAGCAAGCAGTTTTGCCAGTCCTAATTCGAAAATTCTCTTGTCTGGAAGTTCAGTGCAAAATGTGAACCACTGGTCAGGATCACCTCAAGGCAATATTTTGGGTTCCCAAGACTTGATAAATATACATCAAAATAGCCCAATAGGGTGGGTTTCCCCAATTGTATCAAATAGAAATAGTAATCGACCAAAACACCAATCGAATGCGATCGGACAGCAACAGATAACACAACATGGCATGGCATCTGTTCATTCGTCAGGAGCTTCCACGGAACAGATCACCAATGCCGCACAGCCGAATAACCATTTATCAAGCGGCAAATCAGCCATGTCGTCGCTGGTCTCTAGCAATGCAATAGGGACAAATAACCCTGCACAGACGCATATAATTCAGACTTCGCAAAGTGGACAGAGCAAAGCTGGTCCAGGTAGCCAGGCGTCTACATCTCCAGGTCAACATCCAACGACGTCGCAGAATCATCACCTTCAACAAGCTAGGAGTCATACGTTAGCTTTGAATCAACACCGCAGTCAAGTATCTGCTAGTCAGGCAGGCATTATTCCGCCTGTACCGAAAACTCTCATTGCAGCTGATCGACCTGGTACAGTGCATCAAACCAGTAACACCATCCCACTTAGCGCTTCAACATCTACACAGCCCGGCAGGGTTACTGCACAGACTAGTGGCGTAGTAAAATCAGTTACCACTGGTACAAGCAACACAGCTGTGCATAGTCGTTCAGCAAGTGAAGTGTCTCGTGGTATACAAAAATCAGGCCGCAAGCTTCAACAGCAAGGCATTTCCTCGCCTTCAACAGCATCTCATCATAATCAACGAAACAATCCTCGTCGGGTAACTCAAACGAGAACAATTCAACATGGTCCACATCACAAAATGCATTCTATTCAAACGGGTACGTCACCTCAGCGCCAACGAAACAATCCTGTATCTTCTACTAATTTGGGGACGTTTCAGCAAGGTCACCATTCCAACCATGTAACGTCTACCAAAACGGGGAAATCTCAAAATAGTCAACAGGACAGCCCTGTCGCTTCTACTCAAACGGGAACGCCTCAAAATGGTCCACATAATAGCGCTGCAACTTCTACAAAAATTGGGGCATCTCAAAATGGACCACAAAACAACCGTGTAATTTCTACTCAAACTGTGACGTCTCAAAATAGTCCAAAGAACAACCCCGTCGTTTCTGCTCAATTGGGGATACATAAGCAGGGTCAACAGTCAACGGGAACTTCATCGAATGGTCTACACAACAGTCATGTAGCTTCACCTCCTCAAATTACAACATCTCAAAATAATCAACAGAACGGTCCTGTGGCTTCTACTCTAATACTCCATATAGCGACTTCCAAAACGCAGACATCTCAAAATGATCCTCAGAACATTCGTAAGACTTCTACTCAAATGGGGACATCCCAGAATAGTCAACGGAACAGACACGTAGCTTCTTCCCAGACGCAGACGTCTCCAAATGGCCATCATACTAGCCATATAGCTTCTACTTCAATAGGGACGTCTCAACATGGTAAACCGAACAGCCCTGCATTTTCTAATCAAATTGGGACGTCCAACCAGGGTCAACGGTCTACTCATATAGCTTCTACGCAAATTGGAAAATCGCAAAATGGTCCTCAGAACAGCCCTGTAGCTTCTAATCAAATCGGGACACCACAGAGTGGTCAAATTAACAGACCTGTGGTTTCTACTCAAACTGTGTCATCTAGTCATGGTCAGCAAAACAGCCATGTAACTTCTGCTCAAACTCGACCGTCTCACCCTGGTCATCAGAACATTCATTCAGCGTCAGCTAACACGGGAACTGTACCCAACATAAATACCAGAAATACTCCCGTTGTTAACAACAACCATGGTTCGTCTCAACAAGGGTCTTCTCCTCCAGCTGGACATGTTGGAACTCAGCAAAATAGTATTCCTACAAACAACCAGCAAACGGAAAGGAGAGGGACAAGGTATGATAAGGCATGGTTTCGGCTCTAAGATTACGTGTCACTTCTGTATCTTTGTATGAAGCATTATAATATTTCAAATACAACAATTACCCAGGGAGAATTTATATTGTTGTTCATAGTCAGTTTATTATTATGACATAACCCATTGTTATAACTATCTAGTTAGTTTAACTGTCATTATTAATGTCTTTTATGAAGTTTAGTTGTTAAATATTTTGTTGAATTTTGTTTGGGCCCAATACGTGACTTATTCTGCCTTGTTTCTTCACTTCCTAGTCTACAACGTAGTCATGCGGGTGTGTTATCTCCTGCGTCAAACACGAACCTGAAACCGAACAGTCAGCAGGTTACACACACAAAACCCGTCTCATCAATAGTACAGACAGCCAAGGACAACACAAAGACAACCATGAGCAATACACACACAAATCTCGTCTCATCAATAGTACAGGCAGCCAAGGACAACACATAGCCAACCAAGAGCAATACACACACAAATCCCGTCTCATCAATAGGACAGACAGCCAAGGACAACACAAAGACAACCAAGAGCAATACACACACAAATCCCGTCTCATCAATAGTACAGACAGCCAAGGACAACACAAAGACAACCAAGAGCAATACACAAACAAATACCAACCGATCCATAATCTTTGGTTCATATCTACAATCTCCTCCTAGTGTGTCGGGATTTAATCAGCTTTCACCAATATCACACCACCAAGACGTCACATCTACTAGTTTTGCGTTTTTGCCACCTGGTACTGCAAGCGGTCAGATCACTTCTGGTTCTGCGAGTAGACCAACTACTCAGAAGTATGTTTCGACAATGAAAGCTTCGACTACAGCCAATCAAGCACCAAATAGTTTTTCACAAAGAAGTTCAAAAGAACAAGGACCTATCAATCAAACAACACCCACTACTTCATTACTTTTTAACCACCCGGTTAATACTAATGCAGAAGTGACTAGAGCTACAACGGAAACTATTCCAGGAGTGTTAAACACCATAGCTAGCAAAATTTCGGTAGCTTCAGTTTTAACAAAATCTCCGGCAAGAAAAACTAAAGTAGCGGCCACAGCTCAAGCAACTGCAAAACCAGCAGTTGATACAGCAGCAGGAATTACTAATCCAGTGATATCCTCAGCTTCGGCAAGTCAAAATCCGGCAGTGACAACGGCACCGTCTGGTACGAATCAAACAGTAGCCTCATCCCCGTCAAAGACAATTTCGTTAGTGGTTAAAGCCTCTGCAAGTACAAACCGAACATTTGCTACAACTGCAGTAAAATCTTCTCCAGCTGTGCCCTCAGTGCCGTCAAGTACAAATCAATCGGTGGCTTCGACTAACATACGTACACATCGCGTAGTGTTACCAGCTCCGGGTAATACAAATCCACAAGTGGAATCGGCTTCGGCAAGTTCAGCAAGTACTAATGCGATATCATTTAATGCTCCAGCAATGGCTAAGAACCCAGCAAGTGCAAATCCAGCAGTGGGAAAGGCCCCTTCAAGTATACATCAAGAAATGCCTGCAGTATCTTCCGTACAGGCAAGTCCAAACCCACAACCAGCTTCAGCTACGGCTACAAAACCAGTGCCGGTTATGGCCCCAACAAGTAGTAAACCTACTATGTCTATGGTGCCGCTAGGTAAAAATCCAGCGTTGGCACCGGGTCTGGGAAGAAAGATTCAAGCAGTAGGCAAACTCCTGGCAAGTGCAAATCAGAGAGTACGCTCAGCTTTGGCAGGCGTAACGGCTTCGGCAAGCTCTAACCCTGCTGTGTCTTCAACACAGACAAAAACAAATCCAGTAGCAGCTTCAGGTTTCACAGGCACAAGTCGACCAGATGCTATGACTAAGGCAAATTCAAACCTTTTGGTGACTTCAGCATCGGCAAGTACAATTCCAGCAGTACCATCACCCCCACCAAATTCAGCAGTGGTAATAGCATCGGCAAGTACTAATCAAACAAAATCTCAAGGATCGACAAGTGCCATTCCAGCTGTCTTTAATGCTCCAATTAGCACAACTGCAGAAGTGGCGAAATCTCCAGCAAGTACTATTCCAGCAGTTGCAAACGCTGCATCAAGCAATATATCAGCGGTGACTAAGGCTCCGGGAAAATTAAATTCATCAGTAGCTTCAGTACCGGCAGGTAGTAAATCGAGCGTGCCTTCCAATCCCACAAGCATTTCATCAGTGGCTTCAGCAAGTACCAATCCCTCAGCGTTATCGGTGCTAGCAAGCAATAATTCTACATTCCTTAACGCTTCCATGAGAACAAATTCAGTGGTAAATACAATTGGAACGCGAAATCCATCAGTGGGAATGGCTATGTCTAGCATAACTAAAACAGTGTATACGGCTCCGGCAAATTCAAATCCGACTAAATCATCACCTCAGGCAAGTACGAAGCCAACATCAATCTCGGCTCCGGCAGATAAAACCATAACAGAGCCTACTTCCGGTTTGACAGGCAGACGTCTACCAGCGGCTATGGCTAAGGCAAATTCTAACCCTACGATACCTTCACCCCCACCAAATACAATCTTTTCATTGGTAATGGCATCGGCAAGTACTAATCAAACAAAAGCTCAGAAAACAACAAGTGTCATTCCAGCTGCCTTCAATGCTCCAATAAGCACAATTGTAGTGGTGGCGCAATCTCCAGCAAGTACTATTCCAGGAGTTTCAAAAGCTGCATTAAGCAATATATCAGCAGTGACTAAGACTCAGAGAAAAACAAATCCATCAGTAGCTTTAGTTCCGGCGGGTAGTAAATCGAACGCGCCTTCCGACCCCACCAGTATTCAATCCTTGGCCCAAGCAAGTACAAGTCCATCAATGGTATCGGTTCCAGCAAGTAATAATTCTGCATTCCTTCAAATACCTTTAAATACATTTCCATCAGTGGGAACGGCTTCTTCAAGCGTAACTCAACCAGTGTATACCGTTCCGGCAAATGTAAATACGGCTAAATCTTCAGCTCCGGCAAGTACGAAGCCAACAGCTAGCTCAGCTCCGGCAGATAAAACCATAGCAGGGGCTACGGCTGCAGCAATTTCTAACTTGGCGTTCGCTTCATCTCAGAAAAGTACAAATCCAGCAGTATCTTCAGGGTTGACAGGCATAAGTCCAGAACGTGCTACAGCAAAGATACATTCAAGCCCTGTGATGGCTTCAGCACCGGCAATTACAAATCTAGCAGTACCTTCAGCGCCACCAAATGCAAATGCATTGTTGAAAAAGGCTCTAACTAGTATAAAACCGGCAAGGTCTAGTCCTGCTGTTTTTGATGCTCAAGTAAGCACGATTGCAGCAGTGGCTCAAGCTCGAGCAAGTGATATTCCGACAGTTGTCAACGCTCAGGGGAGCACAATTTCAGCAGTGGCAAAAGTTCTGAAAAGTCCAAATCCATTTGTATCTACAGTTTCGGTAAGTGGCGAACCACCTTCAACTGCTGCTTCTACAAGTAGTATTACATCATCAGCTTCAGATCCAGCAATAAAAATTCAAGGAATAATGTCGGCTCCTGTTAGCAAAACATTAGCAGTGACAATGTTGCAAGCTAGTAAAAGTTATGCAACGGCATCAGCTTCGGCTAATACGCGAATTGCAGTGGTTGCGGCTCCATCAAGAAGTAATCCATCATTGATTACAACAAATAAAGAACCTTCTCAAACGAGTGATCCAGTTCAAAATGTCAGTTCAACGAGTGCAAATGTGTCATCCACGAATGCTGTTTTATATCAAATGCATGCCGATCCTGTTCAACCAACATCTGGTACAGCATTTCATATAGGTACAAGAACTATCGCGAATGCCACTGAAACGCCACATGAAATAACAGCTAGACAATCAGTCTCTGCGAGAGTGACGACTAACAATGCTTCATTACCGACAAACACAGTGACGGCATCGGCGGTCGGTCAAAGTAATCCACAAAACAAAATGACACAAAATTCTCCAAATCCTGTAAAGATGGTTCATCCTGATTCGGTCGACAAAATTGCATCTCAAATACTTGCTTCATTGTTGAGGATGGCAGGAACGTTTAGTCAGACATCATCATCAAAATCAAATTTAACCGATCGATCATCGATATCGCGAACACTTACAAAAAGCCTTACAGATGCTCTTAGGCATTCTGTGGCGGAGACTCAGGTAGAACTCACTGGTAATCAGACAGCCGAATCTCGGCCAACTATTGCAAGTCAGACATCCAAGTATTCACAAGTATTAGCAAGCCAAGTAGTACAACCTCAACATATTACGGCTAAACCATCTATATCTGTAGTTTATCAGGAAGCTCCGCATAAACCAGCTGAAGCTTACCAGGCAGTTACATCTCCACCAATTACCCAGGCAGTACCGACACAACCTAATAGTGTGACCCAGGCAGTGACCCAGGCAGTTCAATCTCAACAAGCTGAAATGACAAGCGTAACAACACCTCCTCAAGTAATTCAACGACATCCCGCAGTTCAACCTCCTGAGCAAGTTAGACTCAACCAGGCTACATCCCCTCAGCCAACTATAGGACATGGTGCAACTCAACCTCGACAAGCTGCAGCCACTCAGACAACTTCACCAAAACCAGCTGTCGTAGATCGCACAGCTAAACCCCGACAATCTACAGGAACTATGGCTACACCAGTTGAGCATACCGTTGGAAATCGTGTAAATCTACATCAACAAGGTGCTTTATCCAGTCAAACAACACCGCCTCAATCAACGATTGCTGACCAGATATCTCAATCTAAATCAATTAAAACAATACAGGCAACACCGCATCAACAACCAACTGTGTCAAAGAACGGCGCTTCGGCACAACCAGCTCTGCTTAAGCATACAGCTCCGCCTCAAGAAGTGGTAACAGTTTCCAATACATCTACACAAACAGTTACAAACCAGGTAGCTCTATTTCAACCAACGGAGGCGCCGTCTCAAACAATTTCAGCGAACCAAGTAAATAAAGCAAAATCAGCTCATCAAAACAACGTTGCTCATTCCGTCGTGTCCAGTACAAATTCAGGAGTAACATCTAAACAACAAAACTTTGGACAAAAAGAAGCTGGATTGGCATCAGCTAATCAACCATCAATGGTGTTCAGCTCAGTAGAAGCAACCAAACAAACAATATTCAACAAAGCAGCAGTTATCGCGCCAACTGTGTTAACGGCTGATCCGATATCTTCTTACCTAAAAACAACTTTAAACGATCAACTACACGACCGTCAGTTAAATGCTGATAAAACAGGCAGAACTTTTAAATTAATTACTACGGCTTTGCCGTCGATAGCAAGTGCGTCGGGTCCAGCGTCAACTACAGTGACACGGGCAACACCACTCATCGGTACGTCAGCTCGTGGATTATCATCGGGAGGCAACGGGGCTAGTACGTTCAACTCACCGCCATCTCAACCTAGTGGAACGTCTTATCAAACTATCAACGCAGGAGAGATTTACGCATTGCAATCCAACATTGACAGTGGAGGTAGTGGATCACGAATTCGTAGCACACAGGCTAAGGTGATGGAAGGTAAACATAAACCTCAAAGAGTCACTGTACATCAACTTAGCACAGCCGGAACACCAGTCGATACCGCACGTCCAACTCAAAACCAACTACCGAGTAATTCGATCGGTGGGCCGGTTGATAGGAAGAAGGATCCCAGCTATCTGGCATGGGAGTTTGCTGCTCTAGCGGCCGGTATTGTTGGTACAACGGCGTCGCCTTATGCTGTGCAATTACAACCTCATAATGACCCTGTCGTACCTGAAGTTCCCGCTGGTCTGGAATTTCTGTCCTTCAGTCAACAAAAGGGGCAAACAAATTCAAATAATCTTCTTCAAAAACTCATTTCAAATAGTCTAAATCCTGTAAAGTCCTTGAACAATAACAATCAAGGGCAGTTGACGAATTTAGCCGCTTCCGCGGAACCAGTGTCGGTAATGACGTCAGGAGGCCGAAATAACACAGTGAACGCGGGACAATCTCACATCTCCAACGTAGCGCAACTTGGGCAACCACATACGTATACTTATGGCGTTGTTGGTGGGGACATGAATCAAGCACAATCCAGTATCGTTCAGTCCAATTTTAACAATCCCTTTGGATTAGATCTACCATCTCCAGAACGGGCAACAACGCAACCGGTCGTGTTATCCGCATTCTATTCCTCGCCAGTGTCTAAATCAAGAATAGAACATGCCGCTTCTACACCTAAAGACGTAACGACACTATTGTCCAAAACTATCGTGAATACCAAAACAGTGATAACATCAAAACCATTGGGAACAAAAGATGTTGTGAATAGGATGCCAGGTACAATAAACATGTTAGAGGTGTTGAGCAATGCTGTACAAAATCAGCAAGCGCCTACTGCTACCGGACAGGGTAAAACAGTGACCACCGAACAGGGTAAAACAGTGACCACCGGACAGGGTAAAACAGTGACTACCGGAAAGGGTAAAACAGTGACTACCAAACAGGGTAAAACAGTGACTACTGGACAGGGTAAAACAGTGACTACCGAACAGGGTAAAACAGTGACTACTGAACAGCCATCTATTTTAACTAATAATGTAGCAAATAATGTATATAGTGTAAGTCAAATGAGATACCCGATCGATATATCTCTTTCCGGTCTAAAAATGCTAGTTGATGTACCAAATGGTCGTTTAAATCCGCTAAGACCAGTTTGATAGGGAAAGCCAAAATGCTTGTAGATTTGTGCTAAAGAAATACCGTTCCGTTAGAAGTTCTATCAAATATACTAATACAGACTGCCCACGTTATACGGAATTGTCTGTCACAATATATAGAGGATAATTACTTTAACGTTTGTCGGTTTTTTTGTTTGGAGAATGTTAGACGAGGAAGCTTTTTTTTACGGTTTCTACATAATGGTAGGACAGACAAAAAAAGCGTGTTTTTGTAGTTCTAGCAGATCAAGAGTTAAGGAACCTTTGATTGTAGGTTTCAGACAAGCTTTTAGCTATAGATTTCTACATTAGGCAGATTGATAAACTTTGCTTTGCAGACGTTACCTAAACCTACGTCATTATTTTTCTATAGATAGAACAACAGGCAATCAGCTTTCGTTTCTGTAACATTGTAAGGCACACTTATCCTCCAAAGCAAGTAGGTATGTGTATCAGTAGGTATGTGTAACAGTGTTAAGCAGGAAGGCCCGCTCATCTCGTTACATAGGTTGCCCTTCGTTGTTTTTATGCTGGTTTCGTGAAGGGAATAATTTTTTGAATAAAAATTATATACACATCAACAAACACCACTCTTCACAACCCTGTCTAGGTTAAATCAATACTCTAATTAACTGTGAGTCATGCGTCAAATCGTCACATTTTTTCATAGACTCATTCGGTTGTTTGTATTCATTTTAGATGGAATGACTCACTGGTGGGGGGTTTTCAGAACATGAGTAAAAAATGGACAAGATTATTAATTCTATGAAATTTATTATGGATTTGTAGTGGAATGTCTAATATTCAGTATGGTGATTTCCTTTTAGAGATGGAATCAGATATTATCCAACCGTGGCATAACGTTAGTGATATTTCTATACGATGTAATTTGCAGTGGCATTTTAATATATTCAGTATGATGGGATTTATTTTGATTCCATGATATTTTTTTACAAAGTTCAAGTGCTACGGTAAAAGACTTCTGAAACGACTGTCCAAGGGATAACACTTAAGGTAAAAGTTGGTTTGATCATAGTCAGGTGGAGTTTGGTGATTTATGAGAGTGACTAGGTGTTTCTATTTTTATAACAATAACTCAGCATTTTTCTAATGGTGTTTTCTAACTATAACATCATAATGCTGTCTGCTAAGTAAGTTTCGTGTTAACAATAGAAAAATGCATCTTAATAGGCAAATGGCTATCACAAGGGAAACGCCTTTCTGGGAAGTCTCGGTACGGTAGCTATATAACAGTGGTTTAATGTTGTCATTCAAGCCACGTACGGGTATATGTATAGAATGCATGATTTGTCACTTGTCTCGCATCACAAGTAGGGGTTCATACAAAAATAACGAAATCCACAGTTTTGAGTAGAATATTTATTTTGCATCTTTTCTTGTATATATGTCTCGTTGTTTGTTTCAAATACACACATTTAAAGTATGTTGTTTTTTGTTTTATTTTATTTGGTGTTTTTTAACAATTACACTCCAAGACAACATAAAGACGGCATCAGATCCGCTCTATCACAAGGAGACAAATACACCAGCATACCCTGTCTCCAGAACACATACACGGATACAAAACACACATGGAGGCACATCCTTAAATGACCTTTGCTGTTGATAGGACGTTAAACAAATTACAAACTAAATTGCATATTTAACAGGATATATAGAAACGGACATATCACATAGTTTATTGTAACAGGAAATTGTTAACAAAAGATTTTATCTAAATTTCAAAACCCACAGAACATAATATTTGCTATTTGATATAAAATTGACTGGAAAATAAGTCATTGTTGACTTACGGTCAAAATGAGTTTAAAACATAGACCGGCTTCGACAGATGCAAATAAGCCTGTGACGACTTAGATACTAGTATAATTATGCAGCGGCTAGTCATTGACATTTCAGGGTAGATTTGATTGATATTGCAGATCCCTTATACCTGTTGCCGCATACACATGTTTTGTTCGTTTTTATTTAGTTTAACGTCCTATTAACAGCTAAGGTCATTTATATACGTGTATCCATGTGTGTAGTGTATGTTTGCTGGGGACGGTATGTTGATGTATTTGCCTCCTTGGATTTGGTGCCGATTTTGCAGAGCAACCTCACTGAAATACCATGCCAAAAGCTACAAGCATACTAGTCCGCCTGGTCACATTATACTGACAACGGATGTCCCAGTTGTTACCATTACCCTAAATGCTATACATTATACAGGGAATAACAACTACCATCTTAAGGACTTTGGTATATCCCGACCTGGTAAACAGCAAGTATATTATAATTTACTCAATCCCTGATCTGTAGGGTTGATTCTAACATCTGATAGCTTAAAAGTACACAATCGAGGAATGTATATGTTTCTGTAATAATATAGTCACCTTCACAGAATATAGTTTAGGAACATTATTAAGGTGTTCCTGTAAAAATTATTTCACTTACGAATCCACGCACCAAAGATATTAATAAAGGTTTGATAAGTCGTTTCTAAAAATAAAATAAAAACTTCGCGGGACTTGTATGAAAAACTTAAAGATAAATAAAATAAAACATAGCTAACAACACTGTTCTGAGTGTATAAAAGGACATCACGGTGCTAGACTTGGATTCGAACCCTGAACTGCAGACTGCTAAACTATCACTCTAACCGATAGAGACATGCGTTCGACGAAGTTTCCCGATCCAACTGTGCTACAGTTATATCCAAGCGGAAGTTAAGAGGACTTTACTGTGTTTAGAAAACACAATGTAGTTGGACAGTGATCCTTAACCGATATATTTCCCGCAGTGCTCTCACTATTGTGTTTTGCTCCACACGAAACACGGAAACACACTACCAGGCGACAGTCCGGTGATCCTCCCTCGGCGCACAGACCACGTGACATGTCAATCTGTCTAACTGATACAATCAAGATTGTTGATCTGCTGACAACATCTCTCTTGTAATTGCCTAATTTGCATATGTAATACGTTCCTAACTGTCAGATTTAAAAGCAATAGAATCTTCTGACTGTGGTGTGTGATGTGATTTAAATGACATTGACACTGAAACACACTTAATTAGTTAGATAATGACCCGATCTTGTTCGCCCTAGGATCAAATGTACCACTCCTCCTAAAAACAGCGCCGCCTATCTGTACAAAACGCTATTTTATGACAATTTGTTATGTTTACATTTTCCAACGTGTCATCGATTTTTTGTTCGTATTATTATTTTTTTATTTTTGTTATCTTTTTTTCGAAAATGGATGTTCTCTATTAGATTTACTGCAAAAAAAAATCTTTCAAATATCTTCAAACTGATTTATAACCTATTACCTAGAAACGCTGGCTCCTCGAATTCCTGTACTGATGTATTATGTTATTTATTTAGTTGCGACTAATATTTTGACAACTTATCTCTTAATACAGATCATTTAAAAAAAAATAGGATCGGATTGGTATTTCAATATGGAAGCATTATAATGTTTCACAAACATTACATACATAGAAACACCTACAGTTTTTCTTAGCTGTTATTGGGACGCTAAACCAACTTAACTAACAGAAACAAACAAACCACATGGAATGATTTTCTTATACTATCACTTCTGAATTTTAGACCTAAGTGTGATATTTAATCACAATAAACCTGATATCACCTAACGTTCAAAAGAGCCATTAAAAACTCTGTTATGAATCTATCGTGGTACTATATAATAACATTACTAATATTACTGAACGACTATTATTCGAACTCAACGCGCCATGGAATTCTGGGACTCGGGGGTCCTTACATAACTTCATTAAGGCTTTGCCAATCAGGGTCGTTCATAGTGTATGACAGGTCGATTTCTTTTTTGTTGCTAGTTTATTCATTCTTGGTTAATTTAATCGATTCAAAAAAGGTAACTATTTGGTTGGATTGTTTAATTGCCAATAAAAGATTATATATGTAAAATGATCAATGAACATAATTTAGATTGCAAAAGCATCAAATGACATAATGCTTATACTTAAATCAACAAATTATTTTAAATGCCAATTCAATTGATATACAAAAACTGCACTAACATAGGCGGATTTGAAACTATAACATTTGTACAGATTAAGGAATGGAAATAAATTAGAATTCTTACACTTTTATCTAAAACAAAAATAGATATTTTGTTTAATGTAAAAGACTGAGAGATAGCTTTGTACAAATTGATAGAATACTAACAAGTTGTGAATATTGTTATTATTTATATGATTAAATGTCATTTGTTGGCGACTTGTAGTTAAAGGGTAATATTTTAACTCTTGTCATTACTTTGAGACTTTTTACATCAATTAGTGAAAATAGATTTTCTATAAAGGTTAGTGTTGGATGTTAATGCTTAGATAATTGTATATATTAATTGGTCAGTCTCTCAAAAGCAAAACATAAAATGTATGCTGACGATCTACGTGATTTAATCGTCCACATGGTATTTATCGCCAAGCAAAATAGAAAAACAAAAATGAAAAATTGTGAAAACGGAAACTGTAAAATTTTATCGATTTTCCATACATAGCTACTGGAGTCTCAACCGTTGATTGATGACGTCAACTCATTGAAAACGAAAGACATTAATCACCTTACACGCAAGTTCTATTTAACCGATATTTTATATCTATAACATGGTTTGCTTGTCAGTATACTGCACTAAGAATGGTTACATAGAAACCACAACCCTAATTAAATACTGCATAGATTTTAATGTATTTGCTATCTTTAAAACGTATCTTTTCCAATCTAAATTGATACTAATGTCATATATTTCAGAAAGGAAAGTATTGTTTAATATATAAACCTACCACGAACAATATTACACGAGCACACGTGGTGATCAGGCATAATGTGCAATCAACATATTTATCACATATATATAGACATCAAAGGAGGAGTACAAAAGTGTCAAACAGAAATGGTAAAATCATCTATCGCCGTGATGTTTCATATCAAAAATAGCTTGACCTCCTTTCAGAGAAAACTATGTTAATCAAGCCATATCGACAGATCTGTGAAGATAAGTGATATAAGTGTGAAAACATATGACTTATTGCTGATATATTATCTGTTTCTATATAAGGTAACTCATTACTCTGTAAAACACACTATTATGTTAATGGAATATGTACAATCAGTAAGATCTCTTTATATCACAGATGTTAATGGAATATCACAGATGTTAACTACCTTGACAAAGCATCAATATATTTTCACTTTAAAAATAACATCTTTTTCCAAATTACACTAAAGACCCTCCCATATGATATCTCCAATATTCATTAACTGAGAGATGGATAATTTTCACATATTTATTTTTATA